GTTTCGTCAGAGCGCGGAACTGGGAGTACATCGATCTAGTACGAGTTCACGGGTGGGAAGTCACGGGTTTGACTGCCGTTCCAGTGCACTTTCACGGGTAGAAGGTTGGAAAAACACGGGTTACGGGTTGCCTGGAACGCGGCATAATCCTCTCTACCTAACCTGCGGTCGCGCACATCTGCCATGTTTGTAGTTTTTAGTGCGTTTTATTCGTGTTTGTAGTTTTGGACAGAATCCTTCACCAAAGCTCAATGGGTTGTGGGCAATATCAGCCATTAGAGTGTGCACGGATCCACACTTCAAAAATCGAACTGAAATAGTAGACCAGAGGTGCCCAAACTCAGTCCTGGAGGGCCGGTGTCCTAAAGAGTTTATAGCTCCAACCCCAATTAAACACACCTGAACCAGCTAATCAAGCTCTTACTAGGCATACTAGAAATTGGAAGGCACGTGTGTTGAGGCAAGTCGGCCCTCCAGGACCGAGTTTGGGCACCTCTGTAGTAGACCATCCGGGGAGTTTTGGCATACTCTTTTCAACATACTATCAGTGGTGGACAGTAACGAAGTAGTTTTACTTCGTTACTGTACTTAAGTAAATTTTCAAGTATCTGTACTTTACTAGAGTAGTTTTATTTTGAGTAACTTTTACTTCACTACATTCCAAAGCATAAGATCGTACTTTTTACTTCACTACATTTCATAAAACATATAGTTACTCCTTATAATATATAGGGTTGGGTACCGAAACCCGGTACCAATATGGCACCGGTACCCATGTAACCGGTATGACCTAGAACCGTGATCTGTTTAAGCCCACTGAAATGCTTGAATGCAGACACATTAACATCAGAGTCTCTATGTTTTAAGTCAAAAAAACATTAAAATAACACAGATTAAATCAAATAACTTATGCACGTTCATCTTCCCCGCCGCTGTAATGTTAGCAGTTTTACTAAAATGCTATGCATTTGGCCCTATGTGACGTCTGTTTTGTTTGTCAGCACACATAGCCTAAGTTACTATGTATCTGGATCAACTAGCCGAGTAGACAAATATAAATGTTTATTCATAACCATGCTGAAAATAAGTCAATAATGTTAGCTGATGCTAACTGTCTAGCTAACGAGCTTGCTGGTGCTAAATTGAGGTAATTTGTTAAAAACAAAGTCCAAATATTTTTATTCATCCACCTAGATAGATTACATCTGAGGGAAAAAGAAAGGATGTGATGTTCAGAACATGGTAACTACAGTAATTATCAAAGTGGGAAGTGATGCCCTCGGGGGGCATTTGGCCAGGGGTGTTTTTACACCACAGACAAGGTTTGAGAAGAAAAAAATCATGAAAATCTAATTATATTTTCTTTATTATATTCATTATTTCCTTATTGGTTATTTTGGGAAAATCCCAGGTATTTTGAGCAGTAGGATTATAAAAAAATATATATGCTAATATAAAATTAAATGATAAAAGTAGCCTATATAAAACTGCAAAATAAACATTCATCTATCGGTACTTTTTACTTAAGTACATAAAAAATCAAGTACTTTTGTACTTTCACTCGAGTAAAATTGAAAAGTACTTTTACTGGAGTAATATTTTAATATACGGATCTGTACTTTTACTCAAGTACTTGATTTGTGTACTTCGTCCACCACTGCATACTATGCTTTGGGACTTAATATAAAGAGATTACATTTCATTTGGTGCAATAGGCTACAACATTTTTTTAAATACTGTTTAAATGACAACTGTATAGAAAAACGTTTTAGTTATTTGTGTTGATTACTATTTAGGATGGATAGTATGAACATTGAGACGCAGGGACGGTGTTTTGTTCAGTGCGCGCGAGTGCTAACTGTAATTCTCTCATCAGAAACAACAAAGTGCAGATGTGCATACGAATGTAAGTAAGATATCCATTTCAGAATGTTAACAGCTTCAGAGATTTTAATAGGAATTTTTGAGAGCGCTTGAACTCTGGCTAGACTGAAGTCAGTAATAATGCTTTTTGATAATGTAAATGTTATTTCCTCTCTTTCTGTACCATGAAAGTGTTATAATTAGTAACTTACAATGTTTTGATTAAATTCACATTAAATACGAAGTCAGTCGTATTAAAAATATATTATGGCATGATAACGCCCCCCTATCTGGTACTTAAGTAAAAAGACGGGTTTTTATGCATAGTTAACAGATTACACTATTAGGCTATTTTGCCCATCGCCCATTATAGTTCAACTAACATAATCTATAAAGGTGCAAAATGCATTTACTTACACATATTTGAGAATCGAGATATTTCATGATATAGTTAACACGTTTGGGAATACTTCGAATAAAAAAGAAAAAAGAAATAAAACATAAGCCTATATCAGCTATAAAGTGCTATTGTGGCTGCTGTGTCACATGACAAGCATGACGAGGCCTCCACCCCCCACCCCCCTCCCGTGCCCCCACAAAAATAATGAGTGCATGATGCCCCTGACTCTATACTACAAATTTTGTTTGTCAGATAAATGAAACATGATGAAACATTCGTTTGAGTTGAAATTGTTATAGCTTACTTCTAGAGATTGCAGTGATACATGACATGGTGAAAAATAACTGAATTAATAATACTGAAAGCAGGTTAAGATTAATTTTAAAAGTGTGCCCCCTAAAAGCACAAGTGACCCCTGCCTGGCTCCCCGGTTACTGTGGTCTAGAACTGCCACTGATCCTTCCCATCGTTCTTATCATACTCCATACTTCATTAATTTCAATGTCTTCACCAGTACTCTTACAAAATTCCCTCCAATATTTTCTTTTAGATGTCCGAATTACTCTTCTCAATATAGCCTGTGCCATTTTATAATAAACGAAATCATTAAAGTTAAATGACCTTCTTACCCTCTTGAGAGCTTTATTTCTCCTTCTAATTGCCTCATTACACTCCTCATTCCACCATGGCACAGTTTTCCTCTTGCTGCCTGCCTTGCCTTCTTCTTACCTATTACTTCTACAGCTGTACTCTGAAGAGCCTCACATATTTTATTATTAAAAACATCAACATCTATCATAAAATTACTAATTTCCTTAATTTTGCTTTCACATAACTCATTATACTTATCCCAATCGGCTGATTTAAACCTCCACCTTCTTTCCCCCACATTTTGAGCTATATCTACTCCCACTTTACTGCAAATAGGAAAATGATCACTACCTATTGTACTATGCTCTAATACTCTCCATTCACACTTTCCAGCTAAGCTTTCAGAAACTATTGTCAAGTCTAACACTGAATGTCTTCCCTTATACAAATCGATTCTAGTATACTGCCATCATTAATGCAAACTAATCCTCCGCAGTCTAGCATGTCTTCAATGATATCTCCATTATAATCTGTTTTTGCGCTTCCCCATAACGAATTGTGAGCATTAAAATCACCACACCACACCACTTTTTGATTCCCATCCCCTCCAATACTTTCTAGAGTATCCTTGTTTAACCTATCACATGGATTGTAAAAGTTAATTATTCTAATACTCCGTGAGCCTTCCCATATTTCCACCACCACAACTTCTAGTTCCCCATCATCCTCAACTGCTCTATACCCAATTCCTTGTTTAATAAAGGTTGCTACCCCACCACCATTTCCTTGATGTCTATCTCTCCGAATTGCAACATACCCATGAATTATAAAATTAAGTTGTGGTTTAAGCCAAGTTTCCTGTATACATATTACATCTGGACCATTCTCTTGGTTTGCTATAAATTTCTTAAACTCTTGTCCATTAGCAATTAAGCTTCTTGCATTCCATTGCAAGATAGTTAATACCATTAAGAACCACCACATGTTGACTGACTATTTGCTATTTGACTGTTTGTTGTTTGCATCTTGAGCCTTTCATTTATCATATCATCACATGGATTGTAAAAGTTAATTATTCTAATACACTGCGAGCCTTCCCATGTTTCCACCACCACAACTTCTAATTTCCTATCATCCTCAACTGCTCTCCTTGTTTGATAAAGGTTGCTACCCCACCACCATTCCCTAGATGTCTATCTCTCTGAATTGCGATATAACCATGTATTATAATTAAGTTGTGGCTTAAGCCAGTGACAAGATGATTGACAGGCCAGTTTACAGTGACAGGTTCGGCGTGTAACGGAGCGATCTGTTAAAGACACACTTCTATGACGTGATAGTTTGTCCCAAAGCTTGCCTACTCTTCTACTACACACTCAAAAGTGTGTACACGCTGACACTCCCATTGAAGAGGAGTCTACATCTGCAGTCCACTTCACCAGAGCCAGGTACAGACCCTCTCAGACCTTGTGTTTAATCTAGGCATATTCAGATGATACTGGGATAAAACTATTTACCATCTCTGATTCTCTTTTAATAAAATTTCCAGTGTCTTCAGGCAGTTTGGATCTCTAACCTCAGATCCAGACGAGTGAAACCCATTCTTCTCACCTGCTCTCCTCTCCACCCGGAGATATAGACCCTTACATCACACAGATGGTCTCTACTGCACAATAGCCGCGGCTATTGATGGAAATACCACTGAGAGCCGGTGCATATGAAAAAAAACTTTTTAAAAATGCACTGGAGAGCAAAAATAAATAAAAATTGACAGTCCATGTAAAAATTGTATGTATATAATTTGTCTAGTCAGTCTGCTAGAGTCTAGATTGATTAAAACGAATAAACAGTCTAGAGAAATACTTTCTAGTAAAATGGCAAAATAAACAGTTTATTGATGTTTGGGGGGGATTTATAGCTTGAAAACCCATTTCTTGCAAATTTAGAGCTTTCTCTAAATTTCACAGTCAACTGTTAGAACACAATGAATGTCATAAAAAAATTATACAAACATCAAGAACAGCATTTACAGTATTATAGACCTTAGTCAAGTTAGTCACCATACTGAATTTTACGCATATGAAAACAAGACTGTATAAAGGTCCTAGATCACATAATTTTCACAACTCTTGAAAACTTTCAAAACCGTTTTTGTCTATTGAATTTTTTGTTTCAGAAAGACGTTTCATCAGCTGAACACTGTTTTTAAACAACAGTACAATCCATTAAACGCACAGCACTTCTTCACAGTCTCGTTTTTATTCCGGTCCAAATTAAATATGGCGCTACCATGACTGAGGTCTATTACTTCAAATAAAGCCTTTCATTCATCACAGTCCTTTCTGCCCTCCTCCAACTTTATCCTTTTCTTCTTTTTTTTCTTTGTCAAATTTTCCACCACAGTTGTTTGCTCTTCTGTTCCTTCTCTATTAGACTGTTTCTCTGATACATGGATAATGTTCTCCTCCCTTCTCTCTGTGGATGCTTTTCTTTTTTTCTTCTTTTTCTTCTTCTTCTTTTTAGTGACGGTGCTTTCCTCTGCTGACTCTTTTGTTGTACTTTTCTCCTCAGTTTTCGCTGCAAGTTGGGCTGCAGAGGCGAGGATGTCTGACACAGACACAGCGGCTTCTCTACACCTCATTTCCATCTCACTGTCACTGTCACTGTCGAAAGTGAGAAACTTAATGCAGATTGTCAAGAAGAAAGCAATACACACACTAGGGATATGCTGGTATCAAATTTTCATGTTGTGATTAATTGCTAATGCTTTTATCACGGTATACGGTATTGTCACGATATTGAAATTTAGTTTTAAAAAAGTGCTGTCATAATACAGTATAACAGGTTTAATAACTTTTTTCTTATAACAAAAATAACTGAACATTTAAATGCAATAAAGCAATACAGAAAAATTTATAAAGTTAAAAGTTTTACACAGATTAAAATGCAAAAGAACTATAAAGACCAATAGGTATCACTTTACAATAAGACCTCATTAGTTAACCTTAGTTAATGCATTAACATTCACAATGAGCAATAGCTACATTTGCTACAGAAGTTATTAATCTTTGTTAACAAAATACAAGTCTTAGTTCTTGTTAGCTCATTAAATAACACAGTGGCAACTTTTGATTTTAACAACCTGTTATTAAATATTGGAATACCTAAGATTAATGAATGTTCAGAAGAAT